AGGTGCACACATCTGTATTTTTCAATTCACAAAGTGTGTCACTCAGGAGTTGATTGCTTAACCCAATCATGATAGAAGGGTCCACTCCCCTGCACCCCTGCCCCCAGGGAATTAAGAGCTGGTTGACAGATTCCTGTTTACTTGACATTTTAATCAGGAAGGGAAGAGCAGAGAGAAAGAATGTGGAAAGGTCAGGAGACAGGGCCACATGCATTTCCATTTCGGCAAAGTGCCTCAGATGCTACTACAGGCCAGAGGTTGTTTCACAGGGGACATAAGCTGGTCAGATCAGAAAAGCACAGCTCCTACTTGGAGAAGCTTCTGCTGAGCCCAGGCAGAGGAACCTGCCCATGAGAGATAGAACCACATTGGACCTTGGGAGAAGATACTCTCCAGGGCCCCAGGAAGTGAGGGAGCCCATATGAATGAGGGCTGGGTGGCATGTGGGGTACTTGAAACATTTTTTTTCAGTTAGGCCCCTGAGTGCTTTATTTATTTTTAATTAGTTAATTTTTATTTTATGTGTATGAGTGTTAGGTTGCTGTGTGTGTAAGTGAACCCATACATGCAACACCAGCAAAGGCCAGAGGAGGGCATCACATACCCTAGAACTGGAATTAAAGATCCTTGTTAACTGACACGTGAGTGCTGGGAACTGAACCTGGGTCCTCTGCAAGAGCAGCCAGTGCTCTTAACGGCTGAGCCATCTCCAGCCCCTCATTTATTTATTTTTGAGATAGGATGTCATGTATCTCAAGTTGGCCTTGAACTTGCTATGTAGCCAAGGATAAGGATTATAGGCACACACCACCCTGTTTATGCAGTGCTAGGGATCAAGCCCAGGGCTTCATGCATTCTAGACAAGCGCTTTACCAACAGAGCTTTATTCCCCAGCCCTTCTGAGGGAGTAAAACATGCATTGATTCATTTTGTTTTGTTTTTGAGACAGGGTCTCCCTGTAGCCCCAGCTGGCTTGGAACTCACTATGTACACCAGGCGGGCCTCCAACTCACAGAGATCTCCCTGCCATTCTGGGCCTGCAAAACATGCTTTGAGAAGCAGGAAGGTGGAAAGGGGTTCCAAGATGCAGAGCCAAGGGCAACCCACAGTAAAGAATAAGCAAGGAGCCTTAGGGGCACAAGAAACATTCCTTCCAGGGGCTGGAGAGATGGCTTAGTGGTTAAGAGCACTGGATGCTCTTGCAGAGGACCCAGATTCCATTCCCAGCACCCATGTAAAGGCTCACAACCATCTGTAACTCCAGTTCCAGGGGATCCAACATCCTCTTCTGCTCTCCATTGTCAGTGCACATACATGGTATACTTACTAATATGCAAGCAAAACACTCATACACATAAAATAAAAAAATAAAACAACTTGAAAAAAGAAACATCCCAGCTAGGTGTGGTGGTGCACTCCTTTAATCTCAGCACTTGGGAAGCAGAGGCAGGCAGATCTTTGTGAGTTCGAGGCCAGTCTGGTCTACATAGTGAGTTCCAGGACAGCTGGGGCTACAAGGAGACCCTGTCTCAAAAAGCCAAAAAAGAAAAAAGAAACATCCCTTTTAGCAGGATGAGGGTACTGGCACTCCAGAGAAATGGAACAGAATGAGTGGACATGTTCAGGGTACAGGGCATGAGAGGGCTTGGCTAGAAAAATTGCCGCTACATAGAGTCCATGGTAGGAAGATGCTACAGATTCTGGGCTTTATCATGCAAGATCATGCTTCTAAGACTGCCTAGGCAGGGCATATGTGGAACATTTCCTAAGAGTATCGATCACTTGAGGGTGACAGAAGCAGCAATGCTTTTATTATAAAACAAACAGGGATCTATAGTCATAGTTTTATGGACCCAACTACAAATTGAATGAATTTGAAGACTAAACTCAAGTTTTAGGCAACATCATGAGCCTATATACCTAGCTACTTGGGAAGCTGAGGCAGGACGAGTGCAGGAGGTCAGGGTCAGGCTGAGCAACATAGCTGGATGCTGTCTTCTTAAACAAACAAACAAACAAACAAAAATACCAAAGAGAGACTGGTGGTAGAGTACTTTCTTAGCATGCATGAAGCCCTGGGTTCAGTCCCCAACAGGACACAAGCCAGGCTTTGTGACACATACTTGTAATCCCAGTACTCAGGAGGTAGGCCAGAAATTCAAGGTCATATGACTAGGGAAATGGCCAGTGGTTGATTGATAACCACTCATGCATGAGAACTGAAGGTTGAATCCCTACATCTCATATAAATGGCAGGTAGGTATGGTAGTCCTCTAGAATCCTAGCAAGGGATTCTAGAACAAGGTGGTTAGCAAGACTAGCCATACTGGCAAGCTCTAGGTTTGAGAGACTCTGTCTCAGGGCTGGAAAGATAGCTCAGCGGTTAAGAGCACTGGCTGCTCTTGCAGAGGACCAGGGTTCAGTTCCCAGCATCCACATGGCAGCTAACAACCATCCATAATTCCAGTTCTAGGAGATCCAATGCCCTCTTCTGACCTCCACAGGTATATCATGATGCAGGCACACTTACATACATGCAGACAAAACACTCAAACACAAAAAATAAATAAAACATATGTATAAAAAAGAATGAGTCTGTCTCAATGGATAAGGTAAAAGAACAACCAAGGATGATTCCTGTTATTTATTTAATCTTGGGCCTCTGCATGCACTTGCACCCCCATATGTGCCTACACATATGTAAACATGCATACATATATGTGCATTCCACATATACACATGAAAATGGAAAAAAGAAAAAGATTGTTTTTTTAAGTTCAGGTTATCTTTGGCTACATAACAAGTTCAAGGATACTTGAGCTACATGGACCTTGTCTCAAACAAATAACAACAACAACAACAACAAAAACCAAAGGAAATGACATACCGGAGCAAAGCAAGAAGATAACTGTTGGAAGTAGCGAAGTGTTGGGGTCCGAGGGCTCGGGAATAATTGGAGACCATTCACCAGTGTTTAGAAGTTAGTAGTATTTATTAAAAAAAAAACATCTAATTCATATAGCGACTAGTCAGGTGCAAACTCCAACCAGCCAAAATGGAGTCAGCCTCCTGTCGGGCTCCAGCACGGGTTCCCAGAGTCAGTTGAGACGGAGAGAGCCTTGAGTCTGGGTTGGGTATGCCTTTTATAGGGGGGTTTCACAGAAGCCGACACACACCAAGGATCTTTCAAAATGATTAGGTGGCTTCATGCTCTGAGTACGGGGAAGTTTCTCATTGGTAGGGGCTGTCTTCAGGGCATTGGAATGTGTTGACCATTATCGGTGAGGCCAGGAGTTTTTGTTTTTACCTTATAAGGCTGCTATATGCCCGGGCTTGTTTGGTCTATAGCTTCTTAGGATGGGGGTGATGACTGAAGATTACTACTTGCCTGGGCATGTCCGGGCTTGCCTAGTCATAACCTTCAGTTTGGGGCAAGGGAAGTTTACAGTTTCTAAGACTAGGGGCTTGTGACTGGAAAAGGCAGTTTTGTGAGAACTGGGTCAGTACGACTTGGGCCCTTCATTCCCCCCTTGAGTTGTAACAAGGGTTAAATCTTTAAACCATATCAAACAAGCAAGCAATTGTACAGAAGCAGAGAAAGCAATTAGATGGTGCAATCAGGGTTGTGGGACCATTTCCATATCATCCTGTGTGTCTGGTCTCTGGCTTAACTGGGAATATTGGGTGAACAGTACCATCAGTTGGATAGTCTGCAGTTTTTCTCGGATAAATTTGAGCAAGGTATTTATTTAGGATACAAGGGCCACAAGTGAGTATGAGCAAAAGTATCATTAGTGGGCCTGCTATTGCTGAGAGTAAGGTGGTCAGCCAGGGGGGACTATTGAATATGGACTCAAACCATCCCTGGGCCTCTTCCTGTTCCTTTTTACATTTAGCCAGTCCTTCCCTTACTTTAGCTAGAGACTCTTTAACTACCCCAGAATGATCCACATAAAAACAACATTCTTCCCCAAGGGCTGCGCATAATCTCCCTATTGTAGAAATAGTAAATCAAGCCCTCTTCTATTCTGGAGTATGACTTCAGCTAAAGAGGACAATGATTCCTGTAGGTGGGCTATGGAGGTTTCTAATCTCGCTATTGAAAGACCCGACTGACAGCAGGAAGGCCATTTTAGAAAAAGAACTGTAATCAGCCATTCGATAAGCCAAGATTCTAACCCAGGTCTTGTGAAACTAGCAGTGGAAGATAGGACGTTTGCAGTCGGACCACCTGCCACCACCCTGAGGCCCCTACCGGGAAGTTAGTGATAACAGCCCCTACTGGGAAGTTAACGATAACAATCAGTTTCACCCATAGCCCCCTCTGAATTTGGCAATACTGTTTCCTCATACCTTGTACCCATTGAAATGCACTAATAATAATCTTGTAACCATGCATCTGCTTCTGTACCTTGCTTCTGCTCTATAAAAAGCCCCCCCAAACTAAGCCCGGCACGCAAGTCCTGACCCGAGCGGGACTCTGCGTCCGCAGGCGCCTGTGTATGAATAAATTCCTCTTGCTTTTGCATCCCGAAACTTGGTTTTGTCCCTGTGTGTTGAGCGCGATTCTTCAATGGGAGCAAATGATGTCAGTCTAAGTCCTTCAGAAGTTTCACAGCTGAGTTATATAACCACCCTTGTCTTGCTCTTTGTTCTCAGCGTGAGACTCATGGTCTGGTTTGGGGCGGTGGTGGACAGGGACTGACGAGTCCGGGAAGTCCCCCCCCCTCGGGGTCACCCGACGGGATCTGAGAGCCCACGTGTGGGGCTCAAGAATTAAAGTCCCAGGAAACCGAATGGGAGCCCGCCTTTTTGGGACCCAGTATGTTTCTGAGGGATTCGTTCGTCTGTTCGGAGGGGAAGAGGTACCTCCTCCATCTGGTGTCAGGCCCTCGATCTGGTTCACCAGGCGAGGGAGCGCAGCATTTCTGTTTGCCGGCTGTCTGTGTCTCCTTTGTGTTGTATTCACTCTTGTTGTTGTCAACTCATTCCCAGTCACTATGGGACAAGATTTAACCACCCCTCTTAGCCTTACTTTAGATCATTGGCGCGAGGTGAAGACCAGAGCCTCCAATCAATCAGTGGAGATCAAGAAAAACAAGTGGACCGCCCTGTGTTCATCCGAGTGGCCCACCTTTGACGTCGGGTGGCCACGCAATGGCACTTTTGACTTGAACCTTATTTCCCAGGTCAAGGCGCGAGTCTTCAGACCAGGACCCTATGGACATCCAGATCAGATTCCATACATCGTCACTTGGGAAAGCCTTTCCTTTGACCCCCCTCCGTGGGTCTCCCCTTTTCTCTCTCCCAGGACAGTCCCCCAGACCCCCTCGGTGCCCTTGCCGACGGACCCCTCCCCTTCACTCTCACTCTGCCCTGTAGTGCTCAAAACCAAGCCTGTTATCCCCCCCGATGATTCCGCTCTAAATCCCCTTCTCGAAGACTCTCCTCCCCCTTACCCACCTCTGCCCCCCACGCCCAGAGCCCAGCCCCAGGTTCAAGCGCCCCCGGTTCCAGTTGTTGCAGCGATAGATCACACTCCCGGGACGTCCTCCCCGATCGCTGGGAGGTTGCGAGAGCAAAGAGGACACCAAGGGGATTCTTCTCACATACTTCCTCTCCGGGTGGGACCAGGGCTGGGCAACCAACTTCAGTACTGGCCCTTTTTCCGCCTCTGACTTGTATAACTGGAAACAACATAACCCGCCCTTCTCCCAAGACCCTGTAGCCCTAACTAACCTCCTGGAGTCTATCCTTCTAACTCACCAGCCCACCTGGGATGATTGCCAACAGCTCCTCCAAGTCCTCCTCACGACAGAGGAGAAACAGAGGGTCATTCTGGAAGCCCGTAAACAGGTTCCCGGGGCGGATGGAAGACCCACCCAGCTGCCCAACGAAATAGAAGCTGCTTTTCCCTTGACCAGACCAGATTGGGACTTCACTACACCTGAAGGTAGGGGACACCTACGCCTTTATCGCCAGTTGCTCACAGCGGGCCTCCGAGCAGCGGGGCGACGCCCCACCAATTTGGCCAAGGTAAGATCAGTAGTACAAGGGCAGGAGGAGTCACCGACGGTATTCTTAGAGAGACTAAAGGAAGCATATCGGAGGTTCACCCCCTTCGATCCAGATAGCCCTGAGCAAGAAGTGAGTGTCTCTATGTCCTTTATTTGGCAGTCTGCCCCTGACATTAAGGTGAAGCTCCAAAGAATGGAAAACCTACAGGGACAGAGGTTACAAGATCTACTCAGGGAAGCAGAAAAAAATTATAATAAAAGAGAAACTCAAGAAGAAAGAGAAGAAAGACAAAGGAGAGAGGCAGAGGATAGGGAAAATGCAAGAGACAAGAGGCGAAACAAGGAATTAAGCAGGATACTGGCCACTGTAGTGAGAGACAGGGAAGAGTCTAGAGGAGATAGGAAAGGAGGCAGAGGCAGGGCCCCATTAGACAGAGACCAATGTGCCTACTGCAAAGAGAAAGGCCACTGGGCAAGAGATTGCCCTAAAAAGAAATCAAGAACAAGAGAGTCCACTCTCCTAACCCTCGACTAGGGGGGTCGGGGCCAGGACCCCCCACCTGAGCCCAGGGTAACTCTTCGAGTGGGGGGCAAGCCAGTTACCTTCATGGTAGATACCGGTGCCCAGCACTCGGTTCTCACCCACACCACCGGACCCTTCAGCAAAAAGACGTCATGGGTTGAAGGAGCAACTGGAGCCAATCGATACCGATGGACTACCAACCAAGAAGTGCAACTGGCCACAGGTACAGTGACCCACGCTTTCCTACACGTGCCGGATTGCCCTTACCCACTCCTGGGAAGGGACCTCCTGACCAAGCTAGGAGCCCACATTCATTTCAAAAATAAGGGGGCAGTTGTGACCACGTCTAGGGGAGCCCCTCTCCAGGTGCTCACTCTTCGGCTGGAGGATGAATATAGACTGTTCGAAGAGAAAAATAAACCCTCTCCCGATATAGAAGGTTGGCTGTCCAAATTTCCCGGGGCATGGGCGGAAACGGTGAGGATGGGACTGGCGACGAATCAGCCTCCCCTCGTCATTGGACTAAAAACTACAGCCAGTCCAGTGGCGATCAAACAATACCCACTGTCAGCTGAAGCCTATCAAGGTATTAAGCCCCACCTCAAAAGACTCCTAGAACAAGGAATTCTCACCAAGTGCCAGTCCCCCTGGAACACCCCCCTGCTCCCAGTTAAGAAACCTGG